CCTAGGGGATTTAATAGAATTGGAAATATGCGTGCAAACTCATGGGTTTGATATACATAGATAAATTTGCAAATAGATGTAAATGTATGCACACAGATGTTTATGTTTACATATTTCTATTTTAACATATATAAATTATATATGTGTGTCTCTATATAGAAACACACACATACACACACACTCCAGTAGCAGTGGGTGTATCGAGTGCCCAGATCAGGGCTTCTAAATATTATTCTGTACTAAAAGGAACCAAAGCTCCTAGAGAATTGGTTAACCTCAGGCATGAGACAGCCGAAGTACAAAATGAAAAAGGACATTTTATTGTGTCAGAAAGTAAGGAAGTGCAGGGCTGGCCCGTTATCTCAGTTGGCTAGCGAGTGTTGCTGATAACACCGAGATCCAGGGTTCGATCCCTATTAGCTGCCAAACACCAAAAATTTTTTTTAAAAAGAAAGAAAATAAGGAGGTACTCAGAAAATTATAGAAATTTATTAGGAGCCAACTTAACAGGGTTCCCATGGCCAGATGTGGAGTAGTGTGAGCATCAAAATAAATAATTATAGTAATAGATTATAACCTATTGGATAAAATCAGAGTCCATGAGCCATACTGGTGAAAGAAAGGATGGAAGGAAGGAAGATGATAAATATGGAAAAACTATGGAATTAAAAAATCACCATTTGGTGATTGTGTTTTCCAAAATATTGTTCAACAGTTTCTTTTATCCTATATATCCTTCTTTTTTTTTTTTTTCCTTTTTTGTCTTTTTTCGTGACCGGCAACGGGATCGCAACCCTCGGTGTTGCCCCCGCACCTCGCTCAGCCAGTGAGCGGCCGGTCTGTATGTGGGATCCGACCCCTCGGTTGGAGCGCTGCCGCGCTTCCCAAGTGGTGCACTATCCAGTGCGCCACCGGGCCGGCCCTATATATCCTTCTTTTTTTTTTTTTTTCCTTTTTTGTCTTTTTTCGTGACCGGCAACGGGATCGCAGCCCTCGGTGTTGCCCCCGCACCTCGCTCAGCCAGTGAGCGGCCGGTCTGTATGTGGGATCCGAACCCTCGGTTGGAGCGCTGCCGCGCTTCCCAAGTGGTGCACTATCCAGTGCGCCACCGGGCCGGCCCTATATATCCTTCTTATAATGTGACTTTGATGGTCTTTCATCAAAAAGTGGGTCAGTCTCTGTCCCTTCCTCTTGAAAGTAGGAAGGTTTTTGTGACTGTTTTGACAGAGTGTGGCAGACATGAAACCATGTGGCTTCCAAGAGCTCTGCTTCATTCCCTGGAACACTCACTCTTGGAGTTTCAGCCGTCTTGGAAGCACTCGCACTGGCCTGAGGCCTCTGGGGAGAGCCTCAGACTATCCCCTGCAGAGCGTGCATGGCTGAGCCCTGAGACCACAGAGTCCCCCCTGCACCAGCTCTGCCACTGCAACCCCATGAGAGACCCCAGCCAGAACTGCCCAGCTGGGCCCTTCCCAAGTTCCTGACTCACAGAAACCATGAGAGATAATAAATGTTTATTTTTGTTTTAAGCCACTAAATTTTGGGAGAAGTTGTTACACAGCAATAGATAACTAGAACAGCAACCATCATAGTAAAAGTAAATTCAGACAAAAATCCTCAGTGGATGCAAAAAATGATGGGCAAAGTCTTGACGAGGAATAAGATTTTCACATAAAGTTAAAGTGTCTCCCCACCAAATGCTCATTAATCACAAAGGGAAAAACGGTAACTTTAAAATGGCAAGTCCTGGCAGATGTCACGTTGACAAGGTGATCGAAGTCGACACCATCATCCTGAGACACACTGACATTGCACGCAATGGTACGCTGCCAAAGCTTTAACAGCGGGCAGGAGGACACTGGTTGGTAACGTTTGCTGATTTTTGCGGTGTAAAAACTCCCACAAAGACCAATTTCAGACTACAGCAGTTTAACCAAAGGTTGAGAACTTGGCCGTCGGCTGTTACTTGCTGGTACAGGCCACCCCTTCGCACCCCATCGTTGTGCCACTGATGCCATACACTGAGAAGGACAAAGCCTCACTTCTGAGGCCCTCCTCTCAAAAATGCGTGACCTGACCCCCTTCATCCAGAAACATTAGACAAACCTGAAATTGGACCTTCTACAAAATAACCGGCCTGTACTCTTCAAAAATGTTGAGGTCACAAAAGAGAAGGAGAGACTGAGGAGCTGTTTCAGACTGAAAGAGACGAGAGAGATAACACCTAAATGCAACACGTGGTCCTGGATTGGGTTCTGAACCAGGAAAAAAAGATTCTTGGCAGGGCCAGGGCCAGATAGTAGTATTTTATCAATGCCCATCTCCTGATTTGGATGGATGTACTAAGGTTACACAGGAGAATGTCACTATCTTTGCTAACGTTGTAAAATGTTAACAGTTGGGGAACCTGAGCAAAGAATATATTAGAGCTCTTTGGACTATTCTGGCAACTTATCTAAAGGTTTGAAATTATTTCAAAATAATGAGAAATGTTCCAGCCTATTGATCTAGGCGTGAAGGCAAGACTATAGCAGGTTCATTCTGTCAATCAGAGATTGAACCAAGTCCAGACCAGAGACCTTCACTCCTGCCCGTGCTGGAGGACCCTGTAGCCATGGCAACCTGTTACAGAGGCCCATTCTGCTAAGTTTCATTTTCACCAATTGTTAAATATTAAGTCAGCTGAGTTGGGACTTAAAAGAAATCTTCTGGGATTGGATAAGGCAATGAATCATCCTCAGAATTAGACAAGATCGGGGCCGGCCGGGTGGCGCACTGCTACAGTGCGCCGCTTGGGAAGCGCAGCGGCGCTCCCGTCAAGGGTTTGGATCCCACATACAGACCGGTTCCCGCTCACTGGTTGAGCGAGGCGCGGGAGCAACGCTGAGGGTTGCGATCCCGTTGCCGGTCCCCGGTCCAGTACGGGGGCAACACTGAGGGTTGCGATCCGTTGCCGGACACGGAAAAAGACAAAAGACAAAAAAAAAAAAAAAAAGAATTAGACAAGATCTTAGAGTCATCTTGTTCCACCTGTGTACAGCCTGTGGTTGGGGACGCCTTGTCAGCAAGGCTTTTCTTGGTACCTGAACCAAACAGGCGTGAGTGGCAACTACAGAGAGCTCAGAGGCAGGGATGGATGGTGTGACGGATGGGAAGACATATGAATACACCTGGGACTTTTAAGGAATTCTCTGATTCTCTTTCATATCCTTTAGTTGAGTGAGGACAGGGCTGGCTTCTTGCTGTCCTGGTCCCAATAACCAGGCTAAGAGCTAGAATCTAATCACACGAGGTCTTTTGTTTGGGGAGACTCTGCTTTCTTCCTGCTGCCTCAACAACCAGATCCATAGATACAGGTGACACCAATGCATGCAACACATCTTTTATTGACTGCTAACTGGGCTTGAGGCACAGAGCCAGGCTCTGGGTTTGCACTGCACGTGAAACAATCAGAAACAATCAAAAGCAATCATTACTGCCTGCCCACAGGGAGCTTACAGTCTGGCAAGGCTATGTTGAAACTAAATACATGATTACAATTTGTAATTAGAGTCATGAAGTAAAAGAGCAAGGTGCCATGAGAGAGGATTAGGGCTGAGAAAACCTTCCTGAGACAGTGACATGATCTGAAACTAGAAGGTATGAACAGGAGTGAGTTAGACAAAAGTGAAAAGAAAGAAGGTTCCGGGCAGAGAGAATGAGAAAAGATGCTGTGCCAGGACAGAGCTTGGGACATTTGAGGAACAAAGGGCCAGTGTGGCCAGAGGCTGGAGAACTGGGGTGATGGCTAGGATGACACTGGAAGGGATCAGACTGAGCAGGATGCTGCAACCCTGTTGAGACATCTGGGTTTGATGTCTCAAGTGCACTGGGTTGTAAGCAATGGAGTAAACTGATTTAATTTAATTTTTAAAAAGTTATTTTGCAGTATGAAAAATGAATTGGAGGGGCAGAGAGAAGAAAGGGGAGACCAATTAGGAGGCCATTGTCGTAACCCAGGCGAGAGGTGATAATGGCTTGGACTCAGTAAATAGCGGTAGAGGCAGAGAGACGTGGATGGATTCAAGATACGTTTTGATGTCGGGAACAAGGGAGAGCCCAGTACCAAGAATTTCACTGAAAAGTTCTGCTTCGAGCAACTGGGTGGAACAGATGGAGGTGCCATTTGCCAACACGGGAAAGACCAGGAAAAGGTTTAAAGGGAAGAGATGGAGAGTTCAGAATTGCACGTAGTAGGTTTCTGAGATTCCTGTGAACTATCCAAGTGAATAAATGAATTTGGGAATCCTCAACAGTTAAATGGTATTTAAAAGCGAAGGAATGGATGAGAATATTTAGGAGAAGAATACAGAGTGAGAAGAGAAGAGAAGAGCAGAGGAGAGAATTAAAGAGACCAGAATAGAAAGGAGCCTGGAACTGAGGCTTGAGGAAACCCAGCTCAGAGATCAGAGAGAAGGGGACCTGGGACAGGGGGCCCGCAGCAGCGGCCAGAGAGGCGGAAAGCCGAGAGAGCAGACGTCACTGCGGGTGAGAGAAGGGTGTCTCAGGAAGATGAATTCAGGCAGCTGGCCGAGTGTTTCTGACAGGTTAATCAACGTGGAATTCATGGATCTGACACAGAAGTGGAGGTGGAGACTATAACTGGAGTGGATTCAGGAATGACTGGGAGAAAGCAAAGACGGCCGGTGGGGGAAGACGGCCGGTGGGGGGAGACGGCCGGTGGGGGGAGACGGCCGGTGGGGGGAGACGGCCGGTGGGGGGAGACGGCCGGTGGGGGGAGACGGCCGGTGGGGGGAGACGGCCGGTGGGGGGAGACGGCCGGTGGGGGGAGACGGCCGGTGGGGGGAGACGGCCGGTGGGGGGAGACGGCCGGTGGGGGGAGACGGCCGGTGGGGGGAGACGGCCGGTGGGGGGAGACGGCCGGTGGGGGGAGACGGCCGGTGGGGGGAGACGGCCGGTGGGGGGAGACGGCCGGTGGGGGGAGACGGCCGGTGGGGGGAGACGGCCGGTGGGGGGAGACGGCTGGTGGGTGATGGCTCTCTTCTCCTCACTTCTGCCCCTGAGCCAGGTTGGCTATGAACGCATCCCACCTCTTCTCCCAGGTTTTCATGAAAGCCTCTTTCTCAGCATCTGACAGGGCGCTGTACCTGCAGGAGTAGGAGGAGCCCAGGTCAGCCCCAGGGAAGGGGTTGGGGACAAGGCAGGGAATCCGAGGGGACCTCAGATCTTCGCAGAGCACATGTCTCTCCCATTCAAGAGTAAGAAGGAAACAGGGGTGATGTGGAGAAAATCCACAGGAACCATGGAGTGGTCTGTGGACTGAAGAGGGAGGGAATTGGCAAGTGACAGGAAACTCACTTGATAGAGTTCATGGCCAGCTGTTTGAGGGTCCTCAGGTCGGCCATCATCCCCCCAATGCCCATGAAGGCTTCATAGAAATCATGGGACAGGCCTTTGGCACCAAAGATGGCTGGGTCATCAGAGCTGATCACCATGGGGTGCCCAGTGGCCATCAGAGCAGCTGCAGGGTGGTCTCTTAAGTCAGACACCAGTTTCAGAACCTGCCCAATGGGAGGCAAGGGGGAAAGACAGACTGTGATCCATGCGGAGGTTGGGCACAGGGGAGGTGGGGCCTGCAGTGCCATCGGCTCCCATCCTCCCCTATCACATTCTGAATAGGGGGTGGCTTCTGGACACAGCCAGTTCCCGCGCTCCTCCTAATTTTCTCCAAGTTTCAACAGCACCACAAACATTTGGTCTGACTCACTCTCCGTCCTGCTCCAAGAAGCTCTCCTGAACACAGCAGACACGCAGGTGCTCAAAGGACGCCAAGCAATGGCTGGAAGCACAGCGTCCTCCAGCCCCTCCCACTTCACTGGCCTTTCCCACCGTCCCTTTTGCTTTGTCCACAGCTTTTCCCAAAACCCTACCCCATTGGGGACCCTAACTGCTGCCTTTTGGTTATGAGTGGTTTAGGCAAAAGGGAGTGGGAGAGTGGAGGAACACAGAAAACAAGTGAGTTAAGGAGAAAGCAATTATACAGGAAAACATTTGGGAACCAGAACAAAGGTTGAGGTTAGGGGAGGAGATCCTACTGGATTAGACCGATGGATCATGCATACCTGGTTGGAAATGGGACAGACCTCTATGGGGATGTGCTTCTCCTGAGAGGAAGCCCTCACTGCTGGGTGTTTGCTTAAAGCAAATCCATGGCCGATCCTGGTAGAGTTCAGTACCATGGCATCCAGGAGGTTTTTGTCTATGGAAGTGCCCTGCCAGTCTGGAGAGAAAGGGAAAAGGGATAGTTTTACAGGAGAAGGATGGATCCGACCTATGGGCACCAGACCCCCCAAGCAAGAAAAGGAAGAGACATTAATATTAACACAAATACACACACACACATACACACACACACACGCAGTTTCCTTATAACAATGCTAAACAGAGGTATGGTGTGCCTCTATTTAATTAAATTAAGCTATTTATTTACTTATCTGTCAATCCGATGAGGAAGTTGAAACTGACATAGGTTTCATATGTCATGAGTGTCATGACCTAGTAAGTAACAAAACGGAGTTTCAAGCCTTCGTCTACCTAACCCCATATTCTTTCTTCCCCTTTTTGTTTGTTTCTAGAGCTATTTTCTGGGAATCTTATGTTTATGATCTTTACAATGTGTTGCAGACTCACTTATAATGTCAGTATAATTATCTACATATACTTAATTTAATTTATATATATATATTTTTTTTTTTTTTTTCAACTGACCGGTACAGGGATCCAAACCCTTGGTGTTATCAACACTGCACTCTGAGTGAGGGGGCTCACTAACCAGCCAGGCCTCTAACTTACATACTTACCAGTACTCTTGAGACATTATTATCAATTGCTAGATGACAACGGCCACCACGAGCAAAGCTGCAGCAGACACTCTTGGCTGCCTCCTCCCCAGCATCCCCACTGCACCTTCCTTGCTGCCAGGGCCCTCTTTAGAGAGTGAAACCACAGAGCCTGCCTGTCCCAGCCTCCCTTGAAGCCAGGATAGTCCCAGTGCTGGCCTGGGAGGCCATCTGATGGGCAGCTTCTGGGGCTTCCTCCCTAATCAGAAGACATGTGCTGGAGCAAATGTCTCATCTTGTACTTCACTCGATGTGGTCATCCCTGAATGTGACTTCATCATCAGTGACTAAGTGAGAAGAAATCACTGACTCACTTATTATGTGAGATAATAAGAAATGGCTTTGGTATCAAATCTATTGGATAGATGCATTCCATTCCTGCAACCAAAAGCATCCTAACCGATCCACATATAAAATATGAAAATTCCACATGTCTGTTAGAAATAAAACTCAGGAATTCTCACTGAGGCCTGGCCAGTTGGCTCAGTTCATTAGAGCATGGTGTTGTAACACCAAGGTGCAGCATTCGGATCCCTACACCAGCCAGCCACAAAAAAAAAAAAAAAAAAAAAGAATTCTCATTGCTAGTTAGGGCATGCATTTTAGGTAGATTTTCATTGGTTTTTAAAGATATTAAATACTCAAGTCTTGGCAAAATCATCTTCAAGGACCATATGAGGGGTCTTCAGAAAGTTTGTGGATTGTGGAAAAACTGAATTAAAAGATAATACAAATCTTTCCACAAACTTTTTGAAGACCCCTCATACATCTTGGACCTTGGCTGGGTCCGGTGTTGCACTGTTTTATGCTGTCAACATTATTTCACGCAGGTGAGTATGATTTTCCCAACTAAGCCACAAGCTCTTCAAGGTTAATGACCCTCTACCCCCATCTCATCCCCTACAGACAATTCTTTAAGTCTCCTACAGCAGACTTGGATCTAAATTGGATCTAAATTGACTGGAAATGTCAGGAAGAAGAGATTGATGCACAGGGACCCTTCCTCTGAGAGACGGTGTGATAAAGCCAGGCTGAGCAGCCCACCGCTGTCTCCCTGTCTCCTTGGTCTTTGACGGTGACGGGTGGGAGGCAGTGGACAGCCGCCCTCCTGGGCTAGGCCCCTTGTGAACAGCCTCCCCCAGAATCTTCCTTTGGATCTGAAATTGCAGCCATGATCTTTGCTTAAGGTTTACACATTTTAAGGACTGAAATATGGGAGGGGCTGAGAGATGATTGAGTGAGCCATGGATTGAGCTGGGCTAATGGCATTTCAGAAATAGCAGCCAGGGCCTGCTTGGGACAGGACGAGGTCTCCTCTTCAGCACTGAGGAGTGGACAGAACTCCTGAGATGACAGAGCAGGTCTGGTCCTGTCCCCTCTTCTGCCAACTTCCAGCTGCGTGACTGTGGGCAGGCTGGTTAACCTCTCAAGCACAATTCACTCATACAATGGAGATCATCCGAGAGGATTCAGGTTCAGACTCCACTACCAGTTCTCTAGCCTTGGACCAATAACACTATGTTTGGAGTTTTGGGCTCTTCATCTGTACAAAGGAGGTACTGGGGTGAGAATTATAAATAATGTACGCAAAGTGCCCGACACTGTTATGATCACTGTGACTCCTCCATGGGGCTGCTGTCAGGATTAAATGAGACAATGCATTTGAACAGGCTCTGAGAATGGGCAGGTGCTATAAAACCCCTATAGACGGACACCACGCAGTGGGGTACTGCTGCCCCTGTGCCCTGGGGGCACTCGAGAGTGACGATGAGGAATGCTCCCGCTGACCACCTCCTCCCCTCCCTGCTTGGATCACAAAGGGCTCACCTGTTTCTCCGGCGTGGAAGAAGTAAGGCAGCTTAACACCGAGCGTGGCTGGGATCATCAGAGCCTCCCTGTGATGCCACAGGGAATGGCCAGCATCCTCACGCCCCACCTGCAGGACGGAGGGGGGCTCGCTTGGCTGACACTGCACCCTGCAGCCTGCAGCCTTCCCGTACCCTGCCACCACGGCTTGAGACCTTTGTCACACAGCCTCTTAAGAACAGCCAGTGGCAGAGTTGGGAAGGAAAAGAGAGTGCATGAGTGCCCAGAGATACCCCCTGTCCTGAGCCTGTGCAGTGTCCTCCCAGCCCTTTCCATCCTGTCTTCTCCCACCACTTCCAAGCCCCTGCGCTTCAGCCCTGAGCTCCAAGGGGGCAGAGGGGGGGTGTGCAGAAAGGGAGAGAGACAGACAGGAATAAAAGCACGAGAGCAAAAGCCCTGCCCAGGCACTCGGCAGGCCCTGGGCTCCCCTATGAAGAGCAACTACACCTTTCCAACTAGCCGCACACACCCAGGCTCCGTAGCTGTGTGCCAGTAGCAAGGGCACCCCAGGATGAGACAGGCACCTTTTCAGAACGCCAGTTCTAATTGTGGGGGGAGGGGGGACAGGCGATGACACATTTTTATAATAAAATGAATATGGACAGTCAATGTAGCAGAATGGAGTACAGACTTGAAAGAAACTTGGAGCTTGCAAGTGGGTCCTTTGAAAAACCACCTAACCCTTTCAACCCCAACTTCCCACAAAGACACGTCTGTTAGATGTGTAGACTGTGTCAGGGTCCTGTGCTAGAAGCACTCCCCCGAGGTCCTTTGTCAGCTGCACAGAGAGGGAAAAGAGGAGATGGGAGGGGCTCCTGCCTCTTTTCAAGAGGCCAAGGATCATGGGTGGACACCCTAGGTCCAAACAAAATGACCCCATTCGCGTCTCCCCTTCAGGCTCTGAGCTTAAGCACAGTCTCAGGCGAAATGTGCAGACGGTATAACAGGAGGTCAGGAGTGCCTTTCAGCCAGTCAGACCAAATTAATTTAGATTCTTAACGACAGTAACAAGCTGTCACCTAGGAGGTCTGGCCTGGCTGTTAGGGCCCAGCTGTGTCTTTGATTTGGTTGGGGGGAGGGGGCAAGGGACAGTGTCACCTATGGATGTACAGCTTCAAAAACAGGTGGGGAACAAATGGGACAGAGCGGGGAGGGGACAGACTTCACGTTCTCGAGAGTGTGCCCAGGGGCTGTCCCCATCTGGGACTCTGCTTCCCGCACTACCCCTCTGTGTGCGACCAGGGGTGGTGACAGTTTTCAGAGCCAGATCCAGGCGAGCAGTGTGGGGTAGAAAAAAGGGCAGAAGGCCAGGAAATGGGGAATGAGACATAATTGTTGTCCAAACTCCCTGAACTCCTTCTTTATTCTGGAACTTCTCCCGTGACTGCCACCCCCCGAGGCCCCTGGAGAGGGTCAGCACTGAACTCTGACATCCGCCCGGAGCAGGGTGTTCCCTTCCCAAAGAGCTGCCTGCTTGGCCTGCCTGCTCTCCACCAGCCCAGCTGTTCAGAGTCAGTTACCAGGTCAAACCCTGCCACCATCGTGGGGAACTGCGATCGAAGCCTCATGGCTGCTTGGACTGATTCTTTGATGAGAGACACATCTTTGGATCTGAGAGAGACAGAGAGAAGGCAGGAGACAGCATGACGTGCCATTAACTGTTGTAAGTGGCTCCCGCAGTGACTGGGGCTGGTCTTATCTAGAGTATGCAGCAACTGTTTCCCAAACCTGGCACACTGCCCACATGACCCTATCTCCCCAAGCTGTCATGATCTCTGAGAGATATTTAGCCCCAGTCCATTCCTATCAAGGACCCTTGCCGGCTCCAGAGGGACCCATGGTCTCTGAAAAGTAGGTGAGTAAGGGGACCCACGGGAAAAGTTTCAGTGCCTATGCCTGGATGAGGCAGAGTGGCCTTGCCCTAAGCTTTCCCTGCACTCTGCGAGGGGGGCCACCGAATGGACACAGTACAGAGGCAGCTCTATCACCTGATACCTGCGAAATGCCATAGGCCACCCAAGCGCCTCGTGCTGATCAAGTCAGCAAGACCCTGTGCACTCCAGAAACTCTACTGCCAAGCCTCTTTCCTCCTCTGCACCCCTCTCCCTACTAGTCCAGGATGGGTGTGAGGCAGCAGCAAAACCACAAAAGCACCGCAAGACACAAGACTGGTGCAACTCCTCAACAGAACCAAGGCCTCTGCCCAGCCACAGGCTCACCTGTCCAGTCCTCAGTTCTGTGGGGACTTGGCTCTCCTGACCCTTCAGAGCCTGAGGGACCCGCTTAGCACAGCCCTCACACCCCCTCCTGCCCTCCCCGGCCCACCCAGGCGTCCTGCTGCCCCCTGTGGGGCACTCCACACAGCGAAGGGCTCAGCGCTGCAGACCCAGGCCCCCGCAGGGGACGCGGCTCCAGCCCTCTGACTGCTCTCCCAGGCCCAGCCTCCCGGGGGCGCTGAGCAGAGGCAGGGGACACTCGACCCCCCTGCGCCCTGATGCAGAGTGACCCCTGCGGCTCCAGCCGTAGACAGGACACAGCCCTAGACTGGCTGCTCTTCAGCATGCGGAGAGCTCTTCATGTGGAGAACTCAGGAGGAAAATGCAGCTACAAAGCTTTCTGTGCTCGCCCGGGAGGCACACGGCCCTCTGCACCCCGCCAGGCCACGTGCACTCAGCTGCTGGGGAGACTCCGCACATGCGCTGAGCTGCGTCCCTCGGGATCTGCCACAAGGAAGGCCTCACACGGCTGCACTCGGCATGCAGCCGGCATCAGGCACAGCTCCCGTGGCAAAACGGGAGAGAAATGGGCCGATATCCCCAACATCCAGGCAAAATCTTTATGCCCATAACCAAGTCACCCAGACCCATGTAGGGTCATGGCTTAGACTTATCCAGAAAATGGCTCAGTTCCTCATGTAGGTTTGGTGTGAAGACTGAACTGGAAGTGGTTTCAGGGTGGACTCTGACTTTTGCACAAAGTCAAAGACGCACATGCCAAGCTCAGCTCTCCCGCACTGGGACAGAGGTGTCTCGGAGCCCTGGCAGCCCTCACTGTCCTGCTCCTCTGCTCTCCCTCCCGGCTGGTGGCTCTGCCGCGCCCCACCCTCCTGCCCTGGCAGCTTCAGCGACAGTCTCTCTCACCTGTGATCCGAATAAATGATCTTGATTCCGATAAACTCAGGATGAGTTCTCACAAATGTCTGCGCCACCTCCTTGTAAGTCCTCAGTGACCACTCCCGATCATGGGTCTCTCCATTCAGTTCGTACACCTGGGAGGAAAGCGGGGTGCCAACAGACATCACAGGAGGGCAGAGCCAGCATCTCTGAAGCCGGGTTGGACTTGGCACTTCCCTGCTCGGTGCCCCTGGGCCTCTGACATTGTCGTTGCTACGATACTGGAAGCCCTAGGCCCTATGGGATGGCGCTCTTCAATGCCACGAGGCTAGGCACCTGCCTGTCACAGTCATTGCTGGATCCGTGCACCCAGAGCAGTGCCTGGAACACAGTAGGTGCTGGTGAGCATTTGCATAATGAATGAACAGTCACCTGGGGAGAGGACACAAGCCAGCAGGAGTGGCCCAAGGACCCACTTCCTCTCCCCACTTCCCCCTTCCCCCTCCCCCCACTGCTTTCTGCCTCTATATGGAAATCCTGAGGCGGCCACTGCCACAAGGGACACCGAGGGTGGTGCAGTTGGGCCAGAGTGAGGGGAATGGGAACGGGCAGTAGATAAGACAGAGGAGAAGGATGCTGAGGGAGAAAGCCACACAGTGCGTGGTGCAGGAGGGGTGCAGAGAGGCCCTCTGGAGCACCCATGTGGCAGGCTGGTGCTGACGGAAAGCCAGAGCCCCCTGGGGAGTCTGGCCACTGTGTGAGCCCCTCTGCCCTCCCTGTCACTGGGCCACCCCTCCCCCACACCAAGTGGAGGTGTGCTGGGCAGTCCAGGGTCACAGAGACTGCAGGGTGAGGGGGACAGGGAGAAATCATATGTAGGGGTTCAATTTACCTCCATGGACATTAGTTAATCACCTGTGGTGCACAAGGAGCTGGGCTAAAAGGGATAATCAGATGCTGATAAGACGAGGTGCTGCCCTCAAGGAGTTGACAGTCTCGTCTTAGTCAACAAGACGGATTCCACCTGCTTTCATAATACAAAGCAGGAAGAACGCATGTTAAATAGAAGTATGTGGGATCTCAGAGGAAGAACCATCCGTGTTAACTAGATAGGGCCAGAGAAAGTGGCCCGTCCTGATCTAGGAACAGTGGTCTCCATGGAGCCCAGAGCTGCCTGGCAGGGGACAGAGGCAGGGCCAAGAAACATCACCATTCTAAAGGAGAAAACTGTCCCCTCCAGAGTCAGGGAGTCAGCCCTGGTTTCCTGGCATCGCAGCAACTGGGTGCTCTTGGGGGATCACCTCCTCCTCTCAGTCCCCAGCCACCTGCTCACACCATGCTCGCCACCCAGGGCACCTCCCCACCCCACCCCCAGCCCCGGCCTGTTCCTCTCTTCTCTCCAGGTGGGTGGAGTGGGGCGAGCGGGCACCTCGGCCCTGTGCTCCGCTCTCTGGTTTCCTGGTCTGCCACCCCATGACGCCCGCACTTCACACCCTTCCCACAGGCCGCCCAGCCAGGGCACTGGGCTCACTGGTCTGGGTGGTATTTCCCTGATTGCTCAACTGAGGAGTGGACGTGCTCAGGACAGCTGAGTGGGAAGGCTGCAGGACGTTCCAGAGGGGAGAAACTTGGGCACTGTTGACTCCATATCTGGTATTATTATTGTCTACTGAAGGGGATCGGAACAGGCCACCCCACACTGTGCCACATTGGCACAGGGATTATTTTGAGCTGAAGGCAATTTCAAGTCAAAACTCTCATTATAGTAATTTTAAGATGTCATTTGTCCTTTTCACTCTCATTCTTTCATAAATGTATGACAGAATTTTCCTGAAACTGCATCATGTGTAATGATATTCTGACAGATAATGGATTATATGTTTGTGTAGTCTTACGTTTCGGAAATTTCCCAATTTTATTGTCTAACGAGGAGTATATCAATAGATATAATCCACAAAATTAAAAGCTATTTGGGATCTTCAAACACTTTTAAGAGTATAAAGGGGGTTCTGGGACCAGAAACTTTTAGAATCAACCCAGAATTGTTACTTGAAGCCATCTTGTCATCACCCAGCTGGTTTTCAGCAGGGGAGGCTAGAATTCTGTCCCATGCCCTGACTGCCCTGTCATTATCGAGTTCTAAGGTCAGGACTGGCCGCCTTCTCTGACCCTACCCAGGCAACATACATCCCAACTGGACTGGAAACTCCCCAGGAGTAGGGTCCCTGTGGTTTTGATCTCCCTTCCTCCTCCCTTCCCTCCCTACCAGAGTAGATGCTACATAACTAACACTAACTTAAGAAGAGTTCTGTCTGTAAGGAGTTTTAAAAGGACTCGGCCCAGGCAGCATGTTCTAGAGAACAGACGAGTAGACAGATGCAGAAGTGGTGGCGGCCGGAGCCGTGCTAGCAGGAGAGAAGGGAGACCAAGAAACTTAAAAAAAAAAAAAATCAACAAATGACAATTCTGCCTAAAAGAAGATCACGGGCAGATTAAATGAGTATGCAGACATATGCAAATGATACGTCCAGAGGCCTGATGGGGGTGTGCACATGGCAGTGGTTCCAGATCACTGGAACTGTCATTCCTGTATGTACTGCTGGAGAAGCCAGACCACCGCCTCCCAAGGTCTCACCCACCCACACTGCCTGTTCCCCTAGCATGGAGCGCCATGAAGATGGGCTCTGACTTGGGGGCTGCACACACTGACGCTCCATTCTGAGCCTTTTCCTAGTCTCCTGGTGCCCTGTGAGTCACCTCCGAGGCTGCTTGCACCCTGCACTCCTGCAGCTCTGTCCTCTCTTAAGGAAACTGCAGGCTCGACAGAGTGCCAAGGATGGGGTCTGAATGCTCTACAGCACCCCCACTTCAAGGAGAGGGAGGCCCCTGGGCTGGGGGAGACCTGTGGCTCCTCACAGACCCACAGCTAGAGTGGGTAGATGCTGCTGATGAAGCTGGGCGTCTGAGGAAAGGGCTCAGCTGGTTTAAGGATCAAATGAGTTAATATTTGTAAAGCATTCAGAAATGGCAGCTATGAACAATAATGCTATTATTGTTACAAATCTATCACCAGATCTAGAAAAAGAACTCAAAACTTGCAGTTGTTCTAGGAGGATAAGTTAATATCTAAGAATTTAGCAATTTGTAAGTACAAGTAGCTTCAGCTAAGACCTAGTGGTACAAAAAGCTGCTATATTCATATAATAAGCATTGAATTAAAAGCACACTGAGGGCTGGCTGGTTAGCTGAGTTGGTTAGACAGTGGTGCTGTAACACCAAGGTCAAGGGTTCGGATCACCTATACCTGCCAAAAAAAAAGCACATTGAACTCAATTTTTAACTATAGTTTAATTGAAGAACTGTAAATTTGGGAAATTATTCAAATTACATACTACTTACATAAACCAATGTAATATTGTAAAATTTTACTGTCTACAGTATCATGGAAGTATAGGATTTTGGAATCCTATACAGTTGGATGTGACCCTAGGGAAGCAGAAAGTTGCTGAAGGTCACACAACTGGTTTGTATCAGACTAGAAACAAGGACTCAGTTTCCAACCCCAAATGCAATTAGCCTTCACTACTAGAGCCTCACTCTAACAAACACTGAGCTTCCACTATGTGCCAGGCATATGCAGAGAGCTTTACATCATAATCTTATTCGGTCTTCAAAACTACACTATTAGGTAGGTCCATTTTACAGATAGGATTTTGTTTATTTGTTTTGTTTGTTTGGCAGCTGGCCCTTGCAAGATCCAGGATCTGAACCCTTGACCTTGGTGTTATAACCAGATAAGGACTTAAGGCTTAAAAAGATTAAGAAACTCAGCCCCACTGCACAGTTACTGGTAGCTTGAGGTCTTCCAAGTTTCAGAATCTTGCTTATCCTGAAGTGCCTCCTGTTATCACGGGGGACCTGGCAGTCCACCGGGTGAAAATGTCTCAGCCTTGGCTGCACGTTCAATCACCCAAGGAGAGGAAAAAAGCCTGGTTGCCACCCCAGACCAATCGACCAGGATCTCTGGGTTGGAACGTGCATAGTAGGATAAATATAGCATAGGAATATAAGGATAAAGGGGAGCACTAAAAAGAGGGTGAGTATTCTTGCAGAGTAACACCAATAACATGAAACAGCAGTCACCCCCGAAGGATTTGCAAAGAATCCAGGAAAAAACAGTGGGGGCAGGTATCATGGATTCTCTCTGCCATCTCACCCATAAGACCTCCTCCCATCAGTATGTGCCAGCAGGGGAGTCCCCGGTTGATAAGCCCCTGGGGTCTTAGAAGAGCTCTACACTAAAGACTTGCCAGGACCTAGTCTGGGCCTCAGATTCGGCAGTGGGGGAGGGCACTGGAGCCCAGGAGATAAGACCCGCCTAGCAACTGTTGCCATGGGCCAGTGGCCTTTGTTACAGAGCATTAGTAACACAATGGGAGGCTGAGCAGCCAGGATAGTCCATCAACATCATCCAGGCCTGAATTAGCCCACGACCGAGTAGGGGGAACACGGCTCAACCAAAGCATTCCGGTGAAGGCTGTTTTTAGTTGTTAATGTGGTACAGGCCCCCCCTGCTCTGGCTAATGGGAGCTTTAAGGCCTACAGTCTCCAAGGCGAGAGGCCTTTGTTCCAGGGCTTGGCCAGGACAAACGGTCGAATCCCATCCCCCTCAGCCTCTGTTGGAATCCGAAATCCCAGCGGCACACCACCTTCTAGAAAGCTTGGCTGGGGGGCTAGTTGGGGAGTGGCCAGAGAGAGGAGAGGACAGGAGCTGGGCAAGTCCTCAGGTTAAATGCCCCGGAGCCTCTCCAGTTCGCGCTCAGGAAGGAGAAAATACCCACTGCAGAAAAGGCGGAGATAGACAGGAAACCAATGCCCTGGCCTTTCTGCAACTTCTACCATATACCACGCCACCATGCTCAAGATGAAAGTCACGTCTTGAAACCAGCCAAGACCCAGAGCCTCTCTCAGACGTTTCCTCTCCCCTCTTCTGACCCCACCCTTGAAGAGCCCAAGACTCTGCAAGGGTTGAAGCTTCTCTCTCTGCTCCCCACACCAAGCACCAAGAAAGTTGTCAGGATTTGGCCAACAGGAACCTACTCCCCAACCGGGGGCCATTTTCATTCTAGGTGAAGCCTTTGAGGACCACCACCTGTGGCTGCCTGCTGAGTGCAGGTGTGAAGTAAGCCACAGTCTGGCTGGGCAATCAGTAGGAGCAGGTGAAGGAGGGGCTGCCTGACACCCTACTGCGGTGGGGCATAAACTAACCCAGAGGGGAGGATGGGCCGGACGGGGCGGAGTCTATGCACGGAGGAAGGAGGGTTTCCTTCGTCCTACCTAGGCCAGGCCCCCACACTGGCTCATCTCTTTCAGAAATTCTTTTCTCAGGACAGGATGGACCCGTGTGGAGTATACATAAAGCAAATGTATTTCACAGGGCCTGGTTTTCCAAAGCCTTGCAGTTTCAAATGTTAACCTTGCAAGAGACAGGAAATTTTCCTTCTGTCTTAAGATAAAGAATTGTAACACAACAAGGCTGCTGGCTCAAAGACAGACAGGTTACTGATTGATATGTAAAGATACTGGGAAATTGCTGTAAGAAGAGAATGCTTGTTAAGATGAAGCTTTTGTTGGTGGATCAACTTAACTTCTTGAAAATTGCATTATGGAAGGTCACCTTGCTTGTCTTACTGAATGTTACCAGCTTCTACTGTTAAACTTGTTAAACTGTACTTAGCAAAAACCCCACCTATGCTGTCTTCCTGTAACTTCCTGGTCTGGAGAATAAATGCGGGAAGAGAACCCCAATTCGGGGTTAATTTCCCTAATGGAAAGAATGCCTCTCGAGGGTTCCGGGAGATTAACCCCTTCAGCGCTTCTCACTGCTCAGAAGAGATGGACTTTGAGTAATCTTTGGCGGCTCCGTCACCCAGGGGAAAAGAGGTGACAAATCCACGGGAGGCAAAGCAACAGACCCGATTGTCTCTTTTATTTTAAAAGGACTATTTGTGTCCAGGTGTTATCACTGTTCACAAAACTGATGAAAGCTCTATTCAGGGTCAAAGGTAAGGCCCACCCCCACTTTTCAAGGACTCAGAAATAGAAATATGTCTGCACCCACAGAGTTAAAATATAAAACAACAGATCCAAGTGAGGTCACCAGAGAGGCTGGACTCTCCTGGGCTCACTGTGAGCTAACCTTACTGAGGGTGTTAACATATCTAAGGAAAAAGGTGGGTCAGTCCAGGGTGCAAAGAAAAGGGACAGGCTTGAGGAAGCTTCGTCTCAGGCTGAGGAAGACAGCCCAGACCCGCAAACTAGAACAACAGGCTCCTGGGGCTGGTATAGCCTCCATTATAGAGAGTCCTAGAATGCCTTAATCCAAACCAAGTCAATTTTGGATTCCCAACCAGAACTTTTAAAAAGGAAACAGAATGCAAAAATTATCAGTCACTGCGCATTGCATTGTTTCCAGAAATGTTTGTTTCAACTTGTAGATGTATATAGATATGTTTGAAAACAGTGTCTTAAATAGTCGATTTATTGTAGTACCTTTTTTCCCCTGGGAAAAAGGGTAATAGCTTTTATCAGATCTTCCAAAGATTGGGCATACTAACTCCTTTAGATTCTCAGAGCTCAGTGACAGGGCTCATTAGGGCTTTCGCTCAACAAACAACCTTCTGATTGTAATATGGCTTCAAGAAGAAAATTTTCTGATTAGGAAGCATAAGTGCCTGGTCAGCTTGACAGTTTCCTCTGAAAAGAGCATTCTGACTTTCTTGTTTATACATCCATCACTTAAGAATTTGTTCTATGTGTATCAGTCCTCTGGGGCCCAGCCTCTTCTGGGTATAAAAACAATAAAATTTCCGAGCCTATGAAAACATGGAATATGCAAAATACTGCCACCCTGTGCGCCCTTTCAAAAGCTTGACGGTCAGTCACTAACATGTTTATATACTCAATAAATACTTGAATGAATGATTCTGAATATAATGTAGAAGGGATTCTACCCAAAGGCCACTTGCTCCAAGCCACTGAAAACCTTTAAGCAGTTCAAATCCTTGTGAGCCCACCAAATGGAACAGTAGGGATGCTACCCACTCCCACGACACACCTTCCTGCCCTCCAAAAGTCCTCCACAAAGTACGCTTCAATAGGCTCACCAGAAGGATCTTCTAGTCGCATTTGATCACACAGAGCTGCTCTCCCCAACAGACCCTTCCCCCACCCACACAGAGCCTCAGCTTCTCCCAGCCCAAGTCTGTAACTCTGAGGTTGGTCACCTCATATCACCTGGAATCCCTGTCATCCTTTGCTTCTGACCAAAATGCAAGACCCTAAAGTCAAATATTTTAAAAAATTTTTATATAGTGCTCCCTCCTTTTGGACTCTTCCTAATTCTTTCTCCTTTACTCTCTTCGAGCTTCCTTCCTTAAAATCAAACAAAACCATTTTTAACCTCTTTAGAGTTAGAGTGCCAAGGATCCTGTCTTCTCTGCTTACAGTAGGAGAGGCCCTTTCTGCACCCCACATCTCGCCACCATCTGAGTCATTTCATCCTAGGTCTTCCTGGGCACTCTGGACCCACAGACACATACTCCCTTAGAATTTGATCTTCAGTGGCTTCACCTGGGAGCTTACACCCAAGCAGCCCCATTCTGATGAACTAAGCTCAAATTTGTTTCTCCCTCCAACCCCCATCTTCCCAGGTTGCTTACTCCCTCAGCAGCCACCCTGCAAGTTCCCTTTCCTTTCCCTTCAAATCTCTGTCCATCTGCCCTCCTCCTCCACCCACTCGCTGCGCCCTCCAGCTGAGAAGCCCACCACGCGCCCCCTTGTCACAATCCTCAGCCCTCACCACTGGCGCCTCCACTTTGTTTCTCTTGCTACCCGGGCTCAGCGAAACCATCTCTGCTCTGCTGGGGGGGAATACAGGAGGCAACCTCATGCGGTATGGGCTGCTACACAACCCTGCCTCTAGCCTGGGCTGGCCCTCAGCATCACAGTGGACCATTTTCCCTGTCTGGGATCAGTGACCTCTCTCGATCCCCAGGAGGTTCTCTTGGACACCCACCACTCTTCTCTCACTGCCTCCCGGACTCAGCGGATGTCTTTGCCCTGCCTGTTGTAGAGATGCAGGGAGGCGGGCTGAGCAGCCGTGCCCGGAGCTCTGCTAAAAGCCACCATCATGGGCACATGGGAAACCCGGGAGGGAACACAGGCCTCCCGCCAGCTCCTCTGTGACAACAGCATTGTCCATAACCCCAGTTAAAATGCAACCATGCTCCACGGAAAGGGTCCCCTGGGAACTCACCCATCCCCATTACTACATGCAACCAAATCCATTTACCAGATTCATCAGCTGCCCACGTGCCAAGAGCACCATCTTAAGGGGCTCAGGGAAGCTAAATTTTGATGTGAAAGGGGACAGGTCAAGAAAGGTCCGGACACGAGGCCTTGTGTACCATGGCGAGACGAGAAGTGCAGAATCTTGAGGAAAACGGGTGTGGGGCAGAGGGAATTGCATCCACACTTCTGCTGGGGCCAGCCTCATACCTTTCAGCTTTCCTTGCTCACAGTGGCCCTCAGAAAGTCACATGTCCCCTTGCACCAGAGACCTGGGGGATAAATTCATGAGCATTTGGTCCTCACCCAGGTAAGATTCGAGTCAGGAGGAGAGCTGGGCTTACCGGATACAGCATGGCTCTGAGCTCCAGGTAGAGCACGTTGTCATTGTAGAACTCCTCCAGGCCCTGGAAGATGTAATCTCTGAACACTGGTGCATAACGGACAAGGCCAGAGATCGTGAAGAAGATGGTTTCAAACTTTGACCAGACCATGGCTTGGTTTGCGTAAACCACCTCGGGGTTCTCCGTCGTCAGAGTGAAAGCCTCCAGCAGACTGTCCAGGACACAAGGGCATGCTTCAGCCACTGACTCAGGCACCTGCAGGATTTCTTGCCTCTCCCACCCAGAAGCACACCTAGACATGACCTACCAAGTGGAGATCAGGAAGAGGCAGAGGCAAGCATCCCCAGGCCGCCTGCTCCATACTCCCCGGGAGATGGCTCAGGCGGGGAGCTCACACCAGCCAGGCTCTCCTGCTCTCCCTCCATGTTCTTGGCAATCTGACCCTATTGTGCTTACATCCTAGACCAGGCTCCTTTTGGGGAGTGTTACAGACTGAATTGTTTCCCCCATGGTTCATGTTGACGCCTTAACCTCCAATGTGACTGTATTTGGAGAAAGGACCTTTAAGGAGGTAACTGAGGTTAAGTGAGGTCATAAGTATGGAGCCCTGATCCAATAGGACTGGTGTCCTTGTAAGAAGTGGAAGAGACACCAGGAATGTGCATGCACAGAGGAAAAGCCCTGTGAAGACACAGCAAGGAGGCAGCCACCTACACACCAAGGAGAGAGGCCTTAGGAGAAACCAACACTGCTGGCACCTGGATCTTGGCCTTCCAGCCTCCAGAAGCATGAGAAAATAGATTTCTGTTGTTTAAGCCACCCACTGTGTGGTATTCTGTTATGGCAGCATGAGAGCAGGGGACTATAACATAAATAACTCTGGACGTGGCATTACATGACCCAGGTTAACAGTCCTGACTTGCCATTTACCAGCCGCCTGGCCTTGGGCAACTTACTAACCTTGCTGAGCTTCATGCTTCCTGTTGCAAAAAGGGAAACAACTTCATGAAAGCACTCTGTAGATGTTTCTATGATTAAAATAACTGTTGCTTATAATATTACTGTACAAGTCTGTTAGGAAGTTGCTCCGTCCTATTTTCAAGCTGTTTTATCTGCCATCTGGGTCGTCATCACTTCAGGAGCTGGGACTTTTCCTCTTTCTGAGCGTATTGAATATCAGGACAGATCCCATAACTGTGTTGCTGATCATACCTTGCGCAGATCAAAACAGATTTTAAATGCACCAGGAAATTACTGTGGACAGGAAAGGTGCTGGAGGCTTTTGTGAAGTATAGTAACCTATAAAGCTAAAAGAAAAAGCTGCCTCATGTTTTCCAGGCCAGATGTTTATATCTGGTTTGTACCAAGGGAGACAAACCTGCACACTGCACACTGCCTGTGACAGGTCTTGACACGTGCTTTCTGAGCCACCACTCACCTGCTGTCAAACTCAGTGACGTTCCGCACATGCTTTCGATGGTTCTCCAGCAAAATCCATTTCGAACATTTTTCTGGCTCAGGGGAGGGGGGAGTTGGGTGAGCAAATCTGAACTGCAGAGTCCCTTTTGGGGTGATACAGAAGTGGCAGTGGGGCCTATAGGTGACATTCTTAACTAGCCAGTCCATACTCAGGATGCCAAAGTCATGGAGGTGCAAGGCAGCCCCTGGAAAGGAAGAAGAGTGGAGGGCACAGAGGAGGTGAGGTCCAGTCCCGAGGCACGGGGTGAGCATGCAGGATGAGAGAAGAGGCAGGTGGCATGAGGGCTTCCCCATGGCCAGGTTCCTCCGAGCAGAGCTAGATGTGCCCTTCTTCCTCCAGCTCCGCAGCCTGGCATGCCCATCTTTTGCCTTTGTCCCAAGCCACTGCCCTCTTGGCTATAGCTTAAGAGTGGGGCCCCCCTCCTTCCCCAGTCTGAAGCCGTGGGTGGTCTCCTTCAAGAGGGGCAGCATGTCAGGGTGGGAGAGCACCGGCTTGGAATCAGGTTGGGGCTCCGTAGCTCTGGCTCTCTGCTGGGATCCCGAGGTTTTCTAGGAGGCCCTGCCACCCAGCCCCCAGGGAGGGGGTGACAAGACGGGCCTCAGGTCCTGTGTGCCACCTGCCCTCCGATCTCCCAGCTTGCTCCTCAGAGCCTCACCCGCTGGTGGTCACTCCCTGCTTTGGGCCAGTGAGTAGGCAGCTTCGGTCTGCAGGCTTTGCCATTCGAGGCCCCAGGCTTGTCCTTCAGACCAGATATCAGTTTTTCCCCAGGGCCCTCAAGGCACAGTAGCACCTGGCCCTGCCACTGCCCCTTGGCAGGTGTCCCAGTGTGTGAGCTTTGCCTATGAACTGGGGATGCTACTCTACTGACCTCCTAGTTATTTTTTAATCTCTATTTATAACATTAAAAACAAAGAGGTATGGGGGTCTGGCCAGTTAGCTCAGTTGGTTAGAGCACCACATTATAAAACCAAGGACAAGGCTTTGGATCCCAGTACCGGCCAGCCACCAAAAAACAAATAAATTAAAATTTAAATACAAAATAAGAGATATAGAAAAGTTCTTGTAAGCTACAAACTGCTATTTATAAGTGCAGGATTACAATTATTTTACTATTCATAGGAATGTGTTCGTGCTACTCCAGGATGCTATACTACATACACTGTGTTCTACTTGGTAACTTAGCTGCTGGAAAAAGGGCACAAGAAAGGGTTGTGAGGAAGCCATGAAGGGAATAGTAAGGTTGCCTGGGCCCTGGACACTGTCTTGTGGCTGGACACTTTTCCAGCTTTGTCAGGGAAGACCAGGAATGTCCAGGCCCTTAGGAAGCAAGGTTTCTGGCTTCCAGGGTGAACCAGCAGCCACCATCGAGCACCTCCTTACTAGTTTGCCAGCAAGAACAAAGGAGCAGCATAGCTGAACAGAATTCTCTCCACTCCATTTAGAATGACAACAGCTCCAGGAACAAGAACAGGTCCAAGTTTAGAACCTCCCAGGACCCCAAACCATCCCTCTTCCAAACCTCTACCTTTTGGCATCTTCTTTATGATGTCAAACACCCGACTTTTCTCCATGAGATGCTTGGCCTGGAAAAAGTGCATGCTGGGGGGAAACACCTCGCTCTTCATGGCCTGAAGCATCTCTGCCTTTTTGAGCATCATGAGATGCTCATTGGCCGTCTCCTCCTGCTTCTGTAGCACCAGCTGCCCGCCCAGCCGCATCATCTTCTCTTCCGTCACCAGCTGCTCCCGAGTTTTGTCCATGGATAGGGCTAAGCCGAAGAAAGACACTGCCACAGCCAAAAGCAGATGGAGCAGGGCTCGCCGCCCGGACGGACAGCCCAGTGACATGAGGACTCCTGCAAGGGGAAGTCGCTGCAGTGGAGACTCAATAGGACCAGAAAGGGGAGTGGGTAAGGGAACATCTAGAGATTTAAAAGTCAAACTTGATTCTCCTCCTCTCACCCTGTTCTCAGATTACCAGGAGGCAGGATATTGAGGGATTCTTCTCTGAGACCCAAGAGAAAAGGTCACCATGAGGCCTGCAGTGAAGCTTTTTTTTTTTTTTTTTTTTTGACTGGTAAGGGGATCACAACCCCCCGGCACAGTGTTGTCTGCACCACACTCGGCCAGTGAGTGCACCGGCCATCCCTATATAGGATCCGAACCCGCAGCCTCGGCTCTCCCAAGTGAGCCACGGGGCCGGCCCTACAGTGAAGCTTTTCAGCCAACAAGCCTTGCTCACGCATAGAGAGACATTGCAACCAGAGAGCAAAGGACCACGAGACATTTGAAGCAAGCCTCCAACATGAGAAAGAAACCAAAACAGAACACACAGAAATAAGGAACAAAGGGGAAATGGAGACAAAGCAGAAAATAAAAGAAAAACCCAAAAGAATTGTACTTAATATCCTTAGAGAGATAAAAACAGATACTGTGTCTATAAAACAGGAACAAGAGGTTATTAAAAAAATGAACAGAGAATGAGAAAGAGCTTTTAGAAGTTAAAATAAGAAAGCTGAAATTTAAAAAATTTATAGGCAATATTTTAAAAAATAAAATTTAATTAAACCTTTTGGAAACTAGGACAAAAATAGCAGAGAAGAAAATGAGATGATTATTGGTTCAGGAAATCCAACACCCAAATAATAAACATTTCAGAAGAAAAAAGAAAAAAAATCAAAAATAGATGGGAGGAAATAAGTAAGTAAGTAATCTGAGAAATTGTTCCAGAACTGAAGCCCCTTGTCACTGGATTGAAGACTTATTGATTAACTAGCACATCACAATAAATTGCTCAATAGCCACACCAGGATACATCATCTGGATATTTCAGAACATTAGCATTAAAAAGAGATTCTAGAAGCTTCCAGAGAGCAGCCAGTCCAGTTGTCAGTGAGCAGGAATCTGAGGAAGGATGCGTCTCCTCATGCCAGGCACCATATGCAGTACTTTACCTGGGTTATCTATATGAATTACATTTAAGAATTGTTTCTACTTTGTAGAAAGCATGATATGGTAGGATGGAAAGAACCGAGACTGTAAACCAGGAGACCCCAGGATCAGCCTCAAATTAGTGTCTGTCTTTAACTGCGAGACCTCAGGCAAATCATTAATGTCAACGGCTCTGCAAAAAGGGTGACTCGGAACAGGTCAGAGTTTCCCAAAGAGGGAGGCATGTGTTATCAGTGATACAAGATTCCATTTTAGATGGTTCACAGATGGATATGAGTTATTTTGACAGATACGCAGTTTTAAAATGTGGATTAGCACATCAAACCCGTGATATGGTTCTCACTATTTCAACTGAATAAAAAAAAATTTTTTTTTTTAAATTTTAAAGTAAGCTAATTTAAAGAAAAATATTTTGTTTTCGTTGTTGTTGGCAGCTGGCCTGTCTGGAGATCCGAATCCTGATCTTGGTGTTGTAACACCGCGCTCTAGCCAAATGAGCTCACCGCCAGCCCAAAAAAAAAATAGTAAGTAAACAGAAGTAGGGATATGACAAAAACGGAAAGCTTGGCAATCATTAAACTACATGATATTGGGCCGGCCCGGTGGCGCACTGCGCTAGTGCGCCGCTTGGGAAGCACGGCAGCGCTCCCGTCTGAGGGTTCGGATCCCACATACGGACCGGTTCCCGCTCACTGGCTGAGCGAGGCGCAGGAGCGACACCGAGGGTTGCAGTCCCGTTGCCGGTCCCCGGTCCGGTACGGGGGCAACACTGAGGGTTGCGATCCGTTGCCGGACATGGAAAAAAGACAAAAGACAAAAAAAAAAAACAAAAAACTACATGATATTGAAGATTTTTTGCAGCTCTAGTACATGATTATCCTATGGTGTATCAGACACCAAGAGGGGATTTTGAGAAGGAACGGGTGTGAGCAGTACCGCAGGACTAGGAGGGGGGACCGGTTCCTGCTCACTGGCTGAGCGAGGCGCAGGAGCGACACCGAGGGTTGCAGTCCCGTTGCCGGTCCCCGGTCCGGTACGGGGGCAACACTGAGGGTTGCGATCCGTTGCCGGACATGGAAAAAAGACAAAAGACAAAAAAAAAAAACAAAAAACTACATGATATTGAAGATTTTTTGCAGCTCTAGTACATGATTATCCTATGGTGTATCAGACACCAAGAGGGGATTTTGAGAAGGAACGGGTGTGAGCAGTACCGCAGGACTAGGAGGGGCGGCACCCCCCAAATCGGTGAGCCGGGTATTTGAAGAACCGCTTCAAGTCCACTAAGCCGTTGAATCTCTCTCTGCTCACACTTCAGTGTTCATCTGCAACCAACATCTCCAGGGCAAGAGGACAGTGACATCCATGTCACCTCACACCTACACCATGCCACACCCTACCCTCAGTGGCCCCAGCCCCTTGTCCCTCTCTCCCTAGTGACACATAAGAAAGGCCACCAAGTTCCAAAGTCTCCAACCCCGTCCTCCCCAAGGACTCCAAAAGCATTTGTGTCCCAGCATCTGGGGACTTCCCTGGCCTGCCAGACAAAAGTTTATCTACCAACCTCCAGCCACCAAGCCATCACAGCCTGAGGTTCCAGACGTCACAGAACAGAGACAGCTGTCCCCACTGCACCCTTACCCATTTTCTCACGCATGGAATCCGCAAACACAACAAAACGGTTGTTGCTTAAGCTGCTAGGTTTAGGCGAGTTTGTTACTCAACACTAGCAGTGGGGGCAGGTCACCCCTACAGAAGAAAATGAAGACGGAGACCTGGAGGGTCTTAGAAAGTTAAGATTTGACCAAAATAGGTACTAGACACTCAGATATTCTTTGCACTCTTCTTTAGAGATTACTCTCTACTCTTTAAATAGTTCATAATAAATGTAGAAGAAAGAATACATATCTTAGAAGCCATTGTCAATATATACAAACTTTTCAGTTATGACAAAGTAGGCACTCTGAATTAATGAGTGAAAAAATAATTATAGGCAAAACAGTTACGAGAAAATAAAGGCTACATACATGGGGGAAATAAAAAATAAAATAAAATAAGAAATTTTTAAAAATTAAGAAGTTTATCTAATACTGGTCAGGACCAGCCTGGTCAAACATAAGGAAAAATAATCCCTGTCAACACTTATTGTTACACCTACTTCATCTCTCTCTCAAAATTTTGTCTTTCACTTTTAAAAGAGGGTGCATGAAAACTCTATAAAGGAGTTTGCTTCCAGACTGAGAAGGGGCAGACCACGTGCACCTGTGGCTCGAGTCATCGTCCCTGGGCCCAGGGCCATTCTCAGACGCCTGCTGTGGGGAGGCCTGCTCCTGCGGGACAGTTTCCAGTCCACCAGGGCAGGGGCAGGAGGGGCTGTGCCAGGGAGGCAGGCCCCAGGCCCTACCCAGTCCCCCCCAGATCCTCCCCAGGGGACCCCCGGTACCTCCGAGCAACTCCAGAAACTGCAGGCTGTTGGTCTGGTGCCCCGAGAGCTGTGTCAGGAGCACCAGAAAAGCTCAGCAGTGGTTTCGCTTCCCAGGGGCAGCTTTCACTTCCCCACAGCCACGTGAGAGGTGGGCAGGAGAGGGGCTGGGTGGCCGCCCACCGGGCAGAGGGTGAGAGGCAGACACGGTGACATGTCAATGCTTCAGAGGAAACCAGCCAGGTGGAGGCAAGACAGGACAGGGACGGGTGTGGGGCGAGATCGGGGGAGTGGGAGACCAGGGGAGAGGTGGGGACGCGGGGCTCACTCTGTACCTGGCCTTACCACTCCAGCTGTATTACTTAAGCTCCATATTTCAGTTTCCAAAAATTACCCACCAACACAGGATCCATTGTGAGAATTAAAGGAAAAATGTACACTAAGTGCCTGGTGCACAGTGAGTTCTCAGTGAATATCAGCCATCACTATCTAGGAAGTAACTACTGGGACACACCAGTGAGTTCCACGACGCACGCGTGGTCCATGTGCTGCTGTGCACCCCCTGCTGTCAGTGCCACCTCCTGCTGCCCCCCAATCTACCCACGTGCCCCACAATGCTTCTAGTTCTTCAGCTCCCCGCATCTGGAATCTCTGGGCTCCTTTTGGTGGTCATCTTCCCCAAAAAGTAAAAAGTTCATCTGTTTAGTAAACAAGAGGAAATCCAAAAGTGAAAATATAGAGAAAATAGGAATTCTGTCATCAAGAGTTCAAGACTGATTTTTTTCAAAGTCAGAGGAATCAGAAAGCACAGGCAAGTAGTAGAGAAAAACAAAATTGATTAAAGCAGAAGGGTAAGAAGGGCAAATCACCAATTTTAAAAATAAACCACTTGAAGATTTTTAAAAATACCAAATCAAAGCTAAAGATAAAGCTTTTCTTTCCAAAAGCTTTGGTTAAAAGTAGGGGTGATTAGCTCAGTTAGTTAGAATGTTGTGTTGTAACACCAAGGTCAAGGGTTCAGATTCCCATACCAGCCAACAGCCAAAAAAAAAAAAGAGAGAGAGAAAAAAGTAGGAACTAATTTTCACATCTCAAGAGGTTGGCTCTGGGTATGCCAGGGTATGCCAGGGCATGCCTCGGCCAGGGAGTGCAGTAAGCCAGGGAGCTGCAGACCTTGAGGCTGGAGTCACCAGTCAGGCAGAACCAACTTGGACCAGGGGAGAACAGAACCCAGAAACAGAGAACAGCGGGGTGCACTTACCTGGACACAGAACCAGAAATAATCAAAGCAGGGTCAGGTCCGGGAAGCTGAGCAGCGGGCTCTGCACAGGCTCGTGGCTAGCACCAGATCCAAGGCGGCCTTTTATGGCTGAAATCACTTCAAGGAGCCATGGGCCTCCTCCCGGGTGTGGCTCTGAGCATTGTCTAGCAGAAAAGGTGTGGCAACTGACGACAGTGGACAATAGGTGTGAAACTTGAGGTCATTCTGGA